CTCATCCTTTTTTGACCTTTTTGCGGATAATTGTCCTTCAAGTACTATTGATATGTCCTTGCTTTTCCTTTAGATATTTTTTTCTTTTGTTATTTTTCAATTTTTTGCTGATAATTGTCCTTCAAGTACTATTGATATGTCCTTGCTTTTCCTTTAGATATTTTCTTCTTTTGTTATTTTTCAATTTTTTTGCTGATAATTGTCCTTCAAGTACTATTGATATGTCCTTACTTTTCCTTTAGATATTTTCTTCTTTTGTTATTTTTCAATTTTTTGCGGATAATTGTCCTTCTAGTACTATTGATATGTCCTTACTTTTCCTTTACATATTTTCTTCTTTTGTTATTTTTCAATTATTGTACTTTATCTGTCCATCATTTTTATGTAGGCTTCTTCTAGGTCTTCATCCATTTCATTAGTTTTGTCATCGGATATGTACTCTTCTTCTTCTGCATCTAATTGGTTTTCTGATAATTCACCATTTGTGTCTTGAAAGGCCAATCAGATATAATACCTTTTGCTGAAAATTTGGTGCTACAATTTGTCCAGTCTTGATTTTTATAGCAAGATGTTCTTGACATAAAATAACTCAATTATTCCATTGTGCTACAAGTCTTGAATCGTTATTTTGAATTTCCATCATTGCCGCTATTTTTGAGACTCGCCCTTCGTAATCAATCTGTCTAACTCTTATTTTAGTATTTGTCTGTGAAAGAGGTCTGAATCTTTTGGCTCATTCATATATTATAATATAATGATAAACTAGTAGTATTATACCATTATTTACAAGATGTGGTCTAGAAATTAATTGGATCATTAAAAGGTGATCTTTTAACTGATCAAGAATCTATTTAAGTTTTGGTGGAAAGAATCTAAAGGATTTAAAACATATATAGTGTCTATCATATAAATCTGTAAAGGCTGGTAAAAAAGGTCTTCTTCTTAAAAGATGATATAATCAAAAGAAATTGTAGGATAATCATGTTTAAGAAAAGCTAAATTTCTAGTGGATGATTCGTATTCGGGGCCATGTTTAAGGAGATATCAATTCTCGTTATGGTATTAACTTAGAACTTGAGCAAAATCGATTATCTTATGCACAACTTATCTCTTTATGGAATTTCAAACAACATTGGCACTATCACCAATTTTTTTGTTCTAATTCATATAAAGCATTTTCTTGTTGTGCAGTTGTAGAATCTGTTAATTCAATAAGTCT